TTAAGAACATCTCAGTTTCCTTTTGTTTTTTGGGGTAAGCAATTATCCTGCGGGTGGGGGTAGGGTAGAAGATATTATGTGCTTTAGATAATCTACTCATTGTAGTTCTTTTAATATAGGAGTGGGGGGAGAACAGATAAGCCTGAGGGACAATGCTTTTCTCAAGATACACAGGTTTGTTTTTTAAGCATTTTCACCGGCTCCAGAATTTGGCCTCTAGGAGATGAGCCTTTTCTTCCCATACAATAGTAAGAGTATTTTCTATCCATTTGGCAGTGATTGAATCTAAGACCCCTGCTGGGTTTGCTGCATTCTTCCAACTTATTGGATAACTAGATGCTGAGAGATAACATTCCTAAAATTCGGAGTGGGGGTGGGGTGGAAGGATGGAAGGTCTAGTTGCTGTGTGATCCCTCTGAACTTTGCTTTCTCCTTTTGGAAGGGTTAACTTAAACATACCCAGCGATTGTTCATAACAGAGTCCTCTTCCTCTTTGGCAAATACGCTCTCAGTGTTTGCCAATGGTGGTCTGGATGGAGAAGTACTTTTTACTGCGCCAGCAAACAGAGCTCCTGCTGTTTTAAGACTCAAGGGGGATGTTCCCGGTATTGCTTCGAGGCTGCAGAAGAGGCGAGCCTGTGTATACAGTGAAGGCAAACTGGTATTCAGGTTGTAAATCACTCTTGGGAACTGTGGGACCCTTCTCCGGCAGGGAGCTTAACCTTTTTTGTGCCACAGCCCTCTTCTCAACAGAATGTATTTAAGTAAATGCGTAAAATGAAAGACATAGAGATACCAAGGAGATAAATTGCCTTGAGATATAGTAATCAAAAAAGAAAATATTTGTGATAGGGTAACATGTGCTTTTTCACGAAGACAATAAATAAGATCTAGCAGTCAGTCCAGTAACCAGAATTTCTGGTAACGCAACTACATTAACATCATATGAAGGTGGCTGCTTTCCGTTGACGATACACGCGCAGGTTCTGCGAATACCACCCTGGTCTGTGCCCCACGTCCATGATTGAAAGAAATGTTAAATTGTGGTTCAGCTTAGTGAAAATAAGGTTGCCATTTTTTTCCTGTCCAGTTTCATGGACCCTGGTTTAAAGGAAACCTGCTCTAGAAACCATTTTCAGTGAGGGAATATTGTCCCCAAGGGGGTGAAAATTGTTTTTTTTGGGGGGGTGGAACAAAAATGTTTATTGATGTTACAGTGGTTTGTGGCCTTCCAAAGGACCACAGTGTGTAAAGTGATATACAACATATTTGTAGTATTAAAATTTCATGGTGGAGGGTGATTAGGAGAAAAATGCTTTAAAAGCCTTCACAGAGGGGTAAAATGGAAAAAAAAAAAAGTTTGAGAAACTGCTCCAGAAGGAGCAGTTATAAATTAGGTGACTGACTTTGGTACCCTTCTTAAATAGTACTGAAGAATACAAACCCTGCTCTTGGATTTCTAGCTAGCAGTTCGGCACCTTGAGTTAGATATTTGTCAGCCTCAGTTTCCACATTTGCAAATTGGGAACAAAAATGCTTGTGTATGTGGCTACAGAGATAAATGAGTTAAAGTGTAAGTGCTTCATTGCTGTTCATAGAGGATGGTAGTAGTTTTTTTGCTTTGGCCCTTAAAAAGAGGAACGGGCATTTGTACACGGGCTGTATGAGAGATTTCCAGAAGTAGAATGACTGAGACGAGGGTGTAACATGCTAGTTAAAAAGAAGCCGCTGAAGTACAAAACTGCATACATTTTAAGCTTTCTCGTCCACCTTGGGCTGGTGCTCCAAGAAGTAGAGAGGGGTTACAGGGTCTTTTATTTCAGAAGTTTCCCGTGTTCATATTTACATCTTTATCCCCAAACACAAAGGGGAGCACATTATATACATCCTGTCCTCTACCCCTTTTTCCTTCTCTTGAAATAAATCTCGGGTGGTTGTCCTTAGAGCAAGCACACATAATAAAGACCTGTTTATTTTCTTAGGCTGCAAAGTACTCATCTTTGTTTCTGTGCCCTGAATTATTTCATCAGACCCATGCCGGTGGACCAGAGTGCAGGGCATCCATTTTTGTGGAGTCTGTTTGTTAACATGAGAACTGTATTCTGGTATCACAGAAAGTAAACCTCCTCACAAGGGAACTGCTGGGTGCAGGGAACATTACACTAGAATTAATATGGTGTTGGTGGATGGTGCTCTGAAGAAGTTGTATCTCTTTATATGCCGTGTGTATTTACCTCCCGAGAAACTTAATAAAGTTCCATTTCTAAAGTTCTTGATACATAATTGCCAGAATTGCTCTTCTGGAAAGGTGGTGCCACTTAACACCCCCACAGGCGCCGCCTTTACCTCTTGGGAAAGCATAATAGTAGATACTATCTCAAGGATTCTGGGAATTGACGAGCGCTTTTAACTTGATTCTTGGAAAGATGATTGTTTTGAGGTATTGGGGCCGGAAGGAAGTACCTACCTGTTGATCTCCACATGGAAGTGGCGTGGCCGTGGGTAATTTGGTTCTCACTTAAACTCTCCCCATCCCTCAGCACCCCCCCCCCGCCCCCCTGGTTTCTGTAAGAGAAAAGACAGTTGTGGTCTCAACAGAACAAACACGCTATGATAGGAAGTATATGAAGGAAGCGTTCAAAAGGAAGGTCTGGGCCCTGTAAGCTTGGGTTTTGATATCGGTGCAGCAGTTTACCAGTTGACTTGCTTGGGGGAAGTTAATGTCCTTGGTGCCTCTGTTTCCCCCTCTGTTAAGGGTAATAGTCTCTGCCTCCTGGAGTTGTGAATAACACACAAATTTACATGTGGTACATAGTGAGTGCCCAAAAGTTACCTATGACTAGGTTTTCTTTTTCCCATATTGCTTTGGACGGATCACCACTGCCTGCGTTGGTGGGGCTGATGTCTGATAGATGGGATGAGTAGTGGCGAGCAGGGGGCACCTAGAGGTTCAGGTCAGAACCGTGCGTGGCTATCAGGCTGCTCATCTTCTCATTGTCAGACCCGCTAGCCCCTGCCTTGCACATAGGAGGAGGGGAGCATGGTGAAGTGAGTGAAGCATTGGATGGCTGTTGCAGGTCTGACCGTTTTCAGCAGACCTAGTTGTCCAGCTAATCAGCCATAGAGGGAGAAATGATGGAGAAACTAATGTTTACAAACACCTCTAGTATCTGCCCTTTCCCCAGACCCTAGGAGGATGCCAGGTGCAGAGCAAACTCAACAAAACTCTTAAATTAATCACGCCCCTAAACCCAAGCGTCTACCTTATGAGCTTGTTACGATAGTACACATTTACTAGAAGTCCCGAGGGGTAAACCCATCGTGTCAGACCTGTTACTGACGCCTGGCCCTCTTTTCTTTCTCCTGGCCCACCCCCCAACTCACACACACCTTGCAAAACTTCTGACCATTACCCAGTCTGAAATGAGGGAAGATTAAGCCAGTTGATTAAGGCCATGCTACACAAATGTAAAAGAGCGAGTGTTTGAAAGTCTGTTGAAAACTAGGGGTCTTTCTCAAGAGAAATACTTTGTTTCAAGATCAACCCCTTCCCCAAATTGTTGACTGACTCCTCAGTGTTGAGGAATAGAAATCACCCAGGAAGATGTAGAGAGGCAAGATTAAAATAGGTTAGTTTGCTTTAAAAAGTGATCATTTTATTTAAAAAAATAGAAGTGGATCCTTCCTGGCCTTTCCCCCATGCATTTGCTCGTTTCAAATAGGTCTTTGCTTTAAACAAAAATGGTAACAGGTTACGTGCTGTTCTGTAACCCGCTGTCTCCCTGTCAGGAGAGGTGGAAATTCTGCGTAGTTTTTGCACCGTGGGGAGACCAAATTTGATCTTTTTTGTGGCTGTGAACATGTCTGTAGAACATACCTTTCTTCCTACATAGATCTTTGTGTCCGTGTGCGAGTGTCCGGGGCTTGGATCTGAACACCTGGGGTCGCTGGGCCTGCGGTGTGCCTGTAGGACTTGTCAGGGTGTACACAGAAGAGGATAACCAGGAAATGAGAACGGTAAAGGAGCCTAGAGATTCTCCCCCGACCAGGACCCAGGTGTCTGGTTAAAGCACCGTCTCAAGACAGGCATTTTAAGGTACAGACTGGTACTCACCGTGAAGGAAATAGGACCCAGTTGCAAATCCACAGAGCAGTCATTTTTTAGGGCTGTAGCAGCTCAGGGTAGGACTGCTGTTTGATTTTTGTGTAACAGGAGTAGAAGCTGCAAATGGAAGGTGAGGAATAAAATCCAGCCTTCCCATCCCTTCCTTACCTTCTGTCTCTGTGTAATGGCTTGACCCTGTGAACGTCCTGTAAGACATTTCTGTAGGTTTTTTTCCTAGTCTAGAAGGGCTAGTCTACTCAAGTCTTTATCTAAATACACAATCTTTTCTTTTTTTCTATATATGAAAATATTCCTGAGAATATCTGCCTTTGACAAATGGTATGGGTTTTCCCAGGACTGCCTTCACAAGCTGGCACAAACCGGGTGGCTTAAGGCAAACAGGTTTATTCTCACAGTTCTGGAAGCCAGGCAGTTGAGTTTAGGTATGGGCAGGCTTGGTTCCTTCTGGAGGTCCTGGGGCCTCCCTGCCTTCTCATGGCTTCCAGCCATCCTTGGCTTAGAGCCACTTAACTCCCGTGCTGTCTTCACAATGCCTTATTCTCTGTGGTATCTCCTTTTTCTCTTTAAGGACACCAGGCTTTGGGCTTGGGACTCCCCCTAATTACATTGCCAGTGACCCCCTCTCCAAAGAGGGTCACACGCACAGGTGCAACGGTTTGGACTGGACATTTGCAGGGGGGGTTATAATCTGACCGACAACCTACATGGTTGGTTCATTGAGACTCTGGATGCCTCGTCCCTTACACAGTCTTCTGTGTGTTGGGACACAGATCATGAAGACCTATGTCGTGTGAGTTGTGGTTTTTCCTAAGAAATTGCCCTGTGTCCTTTCTTGGGTGGAGTTCTTAGCTTTTTCTTTCTCGTCGCAGGTGCTCCAATGAGCCACCCATGGAGTGGCGACGACACGAATGTGGACGGAGCGGTCACAAAGAGGCCTCGGCGGGAGGAGACTCACATCTGTGAGAAATGCTGTGCCGAGTTCTTCAGTTTCTCGGAGTTCTTAGACCACAAGAAAAATTGCACTAAAAATCCACCTGTCCTCATCATGAACGACAGCGAGGGGCCGATGCCTTCAGAAGACTTCTCCGGGGCTGTGCTGAGCCACCAGCCACACAGTCCCAGCAGGAAGGACGGTCACAGGGAGGATGGTGGCAGCTCAGGGGACACGAAGGAGAAGCCGGGGGCAGAGCCAGTTGTGTACTTGAAGACGGAGGCCGCCCTGCCCCCCGCACCCCAGGACATAAGCTATTTACCCAAAGGCAAAGTGGCTAACACCAACGTCACTCTGCAGGCGCTGCGGGGCACCAAGGTGGCCGTGAACCAGCGGAGCGCAGACGTGCCGCCCGCCCCCCTGCCCGGCGCCAACAGCATCCCCTGGGTGCTCGAGCAGATCTTGTGCCTGCAGCAGCAGCAGCTCCAGCAGATCCAGCTGACGGAGCAGATCCGCGTTCAGGTGAACATGTGGGCCTCCCACGCCCTCCACTCCGGCGTGGCGGGGGCCGACACCCTGAAGACGCTGGGCAGCCACGTGTCCCAGCAGGTTTCGGCGGCCGTGGCTTTGCTCAGCCAGAAAGCGGGAAGCCAAGGTCTGCCTCTGGACACCTTGAAACCAGCCAAGCTACCTCATGCAAACATCCCTTCCGCCGCCAGCTCTGTGTCCCCCGGGCTGACGCCCTTCGCCCTGAAGCCAGACGGGACCCGGGTGCTCCCCAACGTCCTGTCACGCCTCCCGGGTGCATTGCTACCTCAGGCCCCAGGCTCTGTGCTCTTCCAGAGCCCCTTCTCCACGGTGGCGTTAGACCCGTCCAAGAAAGGGAAAGGGAAGCCACCGAGTGTGTCCCCGGTGGATGTCAAACCCAAGGACGAGGTCCTCCACAAGCACAAGTGTAAGTACTGTAGCAAGGTTTTTGGGACTGATAGCTCCTTGCAGATCCACCTCCGCTCCCACACCGGAGAGAGACCCTTCGTGTGTTCTGTCTGTGGCCACCGGTTCACCACCAAGGGCAACCTCAAGGTGCACTTTCATCGACATCCCCAGGTGAAGGCAAACCCCCAGCTGTTTGCCGAGTTCCACGACAAAATGGCGGCAGGCAATGGCATTCCCTATGCACTCTCTGGTCCTGTCCCCATAGATGAATCCAGCCTCTCTTTAGACAGCAAGCCTGTCCTTGTGACGGGGACCCCCAGTGTAGGGCTACCTCAGAACCTCTCTTCGGGAACTAACCCCAAGGACCTCATGGGGGGCCCACTGCCCAATGACCTGCAGCCTGGGCCTTCTCCAGAAAGTGAGGATGGATCCATCCTATCTGGGGTGGGGCCAAACCATAACTCCCCGAGGGTTGGTGGCTTCCAAGGGAGTGGGACACCCGAGCCAGGGTCAGAGACTCTGAAATTGCAGCAGCTGGTGGAGAACATCGACAAGGCCACCACTGACCCCAACGAATGTCTCATTTGCCACCGTGTCTTAAGCTGCCAAAGCTCCCTCAAAATGCATTACCGCACCCACACTGGGGAGAGACCGTTCCAGTGTAAAATCTGTGGTCGAGCTTTTTCCACCAAAGGCAACCTGAAGACGCACCTCGGGGTCCACCGAACCAACACGTCCACAAAGACACAGCATTCGTGCCCCATCTGCCAGAAGAAGTTTACCAATGCAGTCATGTTACAGCAGCATATCCGGATGCACATGGGCGGTCAGATTCCCAACACACCTCTGCCGGAGAATCCCTGTGACTTTACGGGTCCTGAGCCAATGATGGTCAGTGAAAACGGAGGCGCGAGTGCCGTCTGTCACGATGATGCTGTTGAAAGCATCGATGTAGATGAAGTCTGTTGTCAGGATGCCCCCAGTAGCTCCTCGAAGGTCCCCATGCCTCTTCCCAGCATCCACTCAGCATCACCTACTCTGGGGTTGACCGTGATGGCTTCCCTAGATGCCCCGGGGAAGGCGGGTCCGGCTCCTCTCATCCTGCAGCGGCAGAGCAGCCGAGAAAACGGTTCGGTGGAGAGTGATGGCCTGACCAACGACTCCTCATCCTCGGTGATGGGAGACCAGGAGTATCAGAGCCGAAGTCCAGACGTCCTGGAGACCGCGTCCTTCCAGGCAGTCTCCCCGGCCAATAGCCAAGCAGAGAGCAGCAAGTCTAAGTCTCCTGATGCTGGCGGCAAAGCAGACGGCTCCGAGAGCAGCCGCACTGAGATGGAAGGTGATAGAGCTTTGGATTTAACTTATGTCCATTTTGGGCACAAGGTCGTCCAAAAGGAACCTGGGTGGAACTTGACAAGTGGAGAGTGTGGTATATGTGAACTAGCTCCTCTGTAGGGCCATTAGCCTTTCTGTATGCACTTCTGGATAGAGGGGAGTAATAACTTCCTCTATCATAGCGACATGCTTTTTCTTACGATGGTTCGTGCAGACTGGGGATGGGTAGTGTACTTGTTTTTGATTGGGTTTTGTTTGTGTTTGAGCCCTGTGGGGACATAGGGGTGATCTTACGTAATCGTTCCCGGAAAGTACTATTTGGGAAGGTGGGCTCTGCTTTTTGGCCAGTGGGATAAGCCATAGTTCTTTGATTCTGAAATCCCACTCCCTAAGGCAGGGTTCACAAATGAATGACTCTTCACAAATGAATGAATGGTTCACAAGTGAGGGAGAAAAAAAGAGTCTGTCCTATTTTAAGTGCACATGTAAGTTGTGGGGTGTCTGTTGATGGCATTAATGGTAGAATGGGAGAAGAGTGATGTCGTAGAACCAGGAAGATGGCACCTGGGCTGCTTGAAAAGTAACTTCATACAGGAATTTGAATTTTCAGTTTTGCATTACATGTGTTTCCAGGTTTCCCGTAGCTTTATAAAAAGCCAAAACAGTGAAATTCTCGAAGTGTCTGAGTCATTATTCTCTGTGCAGGCAGGCAAGTAAAAGGACAGAGCTCCTTCTGGGATGTGAAGTTCCTAAAAGCCATTTCAGGCTCTGGAACAGTGGGACAGTTGTTCTTAAAGCTCCTTGTTTGGTTTGAAGCATGAATGACTGTGGGATGATAAAGGTCTGGGATTTTTTTGTCTTCTATGCGTACCAGGTCGGAGCAGCATTCCGTCGACATTTATCCGAGCCCAGCCAACCTATGTGAAAGTTGAAGTTCCTGGTGCGTTTGTGGGTCCTGCAACCATGTCCCCAGGTATGACACCTCTGTTAGCGGCCCAGCCCCGCCGACAGGCCAAGCAGCATGGCTGCACGCGGTGCGGGAAGAACTTCTCGTCCGCCAGTGCTCTTCAGATCCACGAGCGGACGCACACTGGGGAGAAGCCGTTTGTGTGTAACATATGTGGGCGAGCTTTCACCACCAAGGGCAACTTAAAGGTGAGTTTCCTTAGGGTTTCAGCAGGGCTGGGGGCTCGGTGTTAGGGCAGCATCCTTCATCCATGATGAATCCTTCCATTAAGACCAAA